TACCTTGCACACAGAGCTTGCCCTTAGCTCCTAACAACGCTCCGATTGGATTGGCCAATGGAAAGCAAAAACTAGTACGCAGATCCTCAATGCCTGCCGAAGCTACATCGCGTCGGTTACCTTTGCACCGGGAGTCACAACTCTACCGGCTATCCCTCCTCCACCTTCCGAACATGAAGTTCTTGTTGTTTTTGTACGGACGATCATACTACTTATAACTGCGGTCCGGTCGCATTGTGATCGAAAGGCTTGTGAAATCCACCTTGCACGGAAGCAGCGATGAATCTCTTTCAGCGTCTTGCGATTGTGACAACTCTTGTCAACACGTTGACAACTGCGTAAGCCTCTAGAAATACATACAAAAGACCGTTGACTTACAATCATAGCTTTGTGAATTATGGCTCGATTGCACCTAAATCATACCTACAGCAATCCACGCCTTCATCATCTGGCTTGCAGCCATGGACGAATGCTACCCTGATTCTATCGCCAGCCAGCCCGCTTGTTACACTCGACTATGGTACCGAAGTAGCTGGCTTCCCGTTCTTCTATGTTTCATCAAATTCTGGAACAGTACAAATCGAAGTAAAGTACAGCGAAGAATACCGCGGCGTGGAAGAGCCATTCTCAGATGGGCCTTGGACATTCTCGAACGGACTATCCAACTCTTTCCGAGTAGAAACTTTCAACGTCACGAACACGGGATACATTGAGAGCTTCTTCGTTCAAGGAGGCCAGCGATGGCAGACCGCACGGTTGATCACGAATGGCTCCGTCACCATCGACAATCTAGGATTTCGTGCAACAAGCTCGAACTTGTACGCCGAAATGCTACCAGGCCGCTTACAGACATCCGATAAGACTTTAAATCGCGTCCTAGACCTCGGAGGTCGCGTCGCTCAAGTAGCATGCATAGATGCTGGTAATGCACCATCTACGTGGGAGATCACAAAAGAAGGAGCATATATTCGGGGCCAAACCAGTGCGCAATCTTCTCTAGGAGTCGACGCAGTCAATTACACACTCGAATTCGACGTAAAGATCGCCCGCGGCGGCGCTGGCTGGAGAGTAGCAAGTGCAATGCAACCACTCGGGCCTTACTTCGTGCTTACATCCGAATACCCTGAGCGGGATACCTTCGCAAACACAAACCGGACCCTCTTACCTTCAAACACACTGGCGTTCACTAGTGGATGGAGTCTAGTAAACCAGAGCACACTAGCTGTGCCAGAAGCCCAGTACTTCACTATCAACACAACCATCAAGGAAAACACGTGGTATCGCATGAGCACATCGATTGAGGAGACTGGATATCGGGTGGGCCTAAACGGAACCGATATTGCGTTCGTACCTTTACCTCCACCAGCAGCCCCAGGGAACTTTGGCACTCCCTCTCGATACCAAGGTACATGGGGCTTCGGCGGCATGCAGGACCAGATCGCGTATTACAAAGACGTGACTGTCACACTGTTTTTTTTTTTTTTCTTTTTTTTTTTTTTTTTTTTTTTTTCTGCGGAAACGGCACCATTATATATCGCAATCCCCTGACAAGCGAAGATACCTTGGCCGAGTATCAAGTCGCACCTCTCGAACACTCAGTCTGCCTTGATGGTGCCAAACGGGATCGACTGGTCTGGACAGGAGACTTCTATCACACTGTGCGTGTCGTCTCAACTTCGACTGCTCGATTTGACTACCTCTTGGGCACTATTGTATACGCGCTAAGCTTTCAGCTCGGTGAAGGTCCGTATGCTGGCTTCACTCAGATCTCTACCAACCTTGGAGCCCGACCCCAGTACAAAGAAGCAAATATTGCAAATTACGCTGGGTTGGTAGACTACCAAGACCTGTTCTTAGCAGGCATTGGCCGATACTTCCGCTACACTGGAGACTGTGACGGGCTAAAACCTCACTGGGATCAGATTAAGAGACTTGCCACTGCGAGACTGGCTTTCATCGATCCCACATCTGGTCTCATTGGAGGTTCTCCAGAGGTGCCATACCCATTCAGCTTCCTCGGGCCAGCCAACGGTAGTGCAACGACTGGCCTCTTTGCTTATATGCTAGAGGAGATTGCGCCAGTTGCACTTGCGATCGGAGACGAAGAGGCTTCGACATATTACTCCCAAACGGCAAGCAGATTGCGCAAGGCCCTCAATCATGAGCTATGGAACGATCAGCTCGGAACATACTCACTCTCGACCACCGACCGAGGCAACTTCTCTTTGACTGGTATCGCCTGGGCGATCCTATCTGGTGCAGCCAACGATACCCAAGCAGCATCCTCCATTGCCAAGCTTGAGGAACTTCGTTTCGCAGTAGGCTACAAAACCACCTCGAGTGACTTGGAGACAGACGACTACCAGCTTGCTCCCAATCCATCAGGATTCCTGTTGGAAGCGCTGTTCAAGTCAAGGCGTGACTTCGGAGTAAACAGCACATCTGCCATCAAGCACCTACTCGACAACCTGTGGGGTAGCATGGTCAGCCAGGACAAGTTCTACTCTGGCGCGAGTTGGGAATACGTAAAGCCTGATGGTTCTCCTGGTATTGATCTTTTTACCAGCTTGGCACATCCATGGGGTGCAGCTCCAACGTATGTACTGCCAGAGTACCTTCTTGGCGTCATTACAAACTCTCCCGGGTACGGAACGGTTGTTATCACTCCCATGATAGGGTTCTTGAACCTGTCTGAAGTCAACGGGACGGTACCGACGCCCAATGGGCCGATCAAGGTGGCGTGGGCGTTGAGCGGCACGAACGTTGCTTTCACGGTTGTTGTACCGACTGGTACGACGGCTGCGCTACAGTTGCCAGCTGGCGCGACTGTGATTGGCAGGAGCTTGCGCAACGGAAAGCTTGATCTGTCTTGTGGAATGACGGAATTGAGAATAGATACAAAAGTATAACTATAATTCCATTCGGGCGAGAGCCTATCCTACACCTCTAGTCTTCCGGCTCCGTGTACTGACTTCGATCCGGCTCCTTGTTGCTAAACTGCGGGCGCTGGTACATGATTGCTTTCTCGTCGAACCGCCAATTTGTCCACATTGAATTCTGTACCCTGTCCGTCGAACAACAACTATGAGTATTACGGTGGTGCTATCCTTTGGTCTCCTCGTAAGGTCAATCGGGCTTGGGACGATGAAGCAGTTCGACAACAACAACAGCAACAACAAGAACAACTTCAGAAAGCTAACAGATCTCATATGAAGGAGCAAACTCGGTTGTACGAGCTTTATCAAGTTCAGGAGAAGCGTGTTGAGAGAGAGAGAGACTCAAGGAGGTGAGGGAGAAGGAGAGAGCCGCCAAGGAGGCTGAAAAGGAGCGCCAGAAAGCAGCTCGCGACGTTGAAGAAGCTATACAACTGTCCCAAACGGGTAAGCGCAAGGTCTCGCAAGCCTGGAAGCCCCCCAGAAAGCGTCAGAAACGTGCTGTTGTTGTTCCATCTCATGTTCAAGCTGAGGAGGCTGCATTAGCCGCCCCAGCGCGTACCACCCGCCTTGGCCGCAAAACCACGCTACCAAGTAAATATAAGTAGCACAAGTTGATCGCAATGATATAATCAGTACAGCTCTACAAGATCTCGCATCAATAGCTATTGTTGGTGGTGATACAGCCTCATTTTTCCAGTTATTCATGTTGTTGAGGTGATCGTCGCTCGCACATGATCATCGCGCGCACAGACACAGTAGCACTCACGTTACTAGACCATTCCGATCACTGGTTAGAACTTCACTCTCTTCTGCGTGCTGAATATCAAATTTTACTGTTGAACTGTCTGCTAAGTCTGCTCATCGCAGTATAATGCCCTATTTAGGGCAATAGTTCACATATGCCAAGATGATTGGAAGATTACTGCTGTTAACTAGGCCTCCAACCGCTTCTGTAACGTGCTCGGGGCTTATTGCCAAATCTAGCAAGACAGTCGCAGCAATGACAGCTAAGCCCCGAGCACGTTACAGAAGCGGTTGGAGGCCTAGTTAACAGCAGTAATCTTCCAATCATCTTGGCACGCAAATCCGGTCGGCACGGTAGTTCCGCCAACACGAGCCAAATGGAAGCGGTAAGGATTAGCTAGGTAGCGCCTGATATAGGATGATACATAGATGATAGCCATATCTGGTACAGTGCTGACCAAAATCGGGTTTCCGGTTCGCGCCACGCCGGTTGTTCATGGCGCACGGCCGTTCTGCAAGGTACTTACCTAACAGGTGCTAGCGCCGCGTAGGTCAATTCATTCACTGTGTATAATCTCACTCCAGCTTTACTCCCCTGTTCGATCGCAGTCGTCGACAAAATCTTGGAACCTAGTGGATCGTGGTATTGCCTCTATTAATCAAGTGTATTTTCCTTAATCTCAAAGGCACTTAGTCTGTCATTGTGTACATTCCGAGTGTTTCCAGGTTAGGAGCGAGTTGAGTGGCATGGTAGAAGCACCTAGCATGCTTACGTGGTCTTGTATCGTATTATGCTTTAACTAGCCCAGACGAGTGTGTAATCTAGTCGTTAGTCTCAAGCAAAGCGTCTTGGCCACTTCTTCTGCCAGAGCAAGTTACTTCAGTGTTCTTTATATAAGACACTGCAGCATCAGCATCTCTATAAGTCGTTAAGGTTCCCCCTTCAAATCATCAGACGCCAGGTCATCAACATCAACAAGCACCCACTATTCAGATTCAGTTCTACTACTCGTTTTATTGCAATATTGCTCACAATGAAGCCCTCGACCTACCTCCTATTCGCTGTTAACTACCTCGGCTTGGCCTCCGCTGCCTCCATCGCCAACCCCGACGACAGCTTACAGCCTATAGAGAAGCGAGCTTGCTTCCAAACTGGGTCAACTTATGGCGGCAATAAAGACGACGCCTTGAAAGCAGCCCGAACAGCCTGCAACAGTGCCCTTAGGGGCACATACAACAAACGCGAAACCCGCGTCAAGTGCTACAACATTGGCAACAATAAGCACGTGAAGCTCACCGTCGGCCTTACAGGCCCTAATGCCGGCTCGCAACGCAACATTGGGAGCGACGAGTGTTACAATGGCCTTGCGGGTCGGATCGAAAGTTGCCCTAAGGGTGATGATAAAACCTACGGGAATTGGCGCTACAGGCAAGTGCTTCTATATTAGCTCTGCGTTACGCAACTCTTATTAATGTGACTAATTATTGTAGGGCTGATCCGAACAACGGTCCATGCTAATGTCATGAAGTGCTATTGTACCGGTGTGCGGGTGAACGCCCTGCACGTGATCGAGTCTGTGCGCAACCCAGATTTCGGAGGCATAAGATGGCTTTCAACACCCCAGTGCCGCAGGACACCAACCTTACAAGCGATTAGTTATCTTCTTGTTTTCTTAGCATACAGAATCTCCACACAATAAGACTTGTTCTTACCAAACACTCCGTACCTTATGCGCCTGCCTGCCCGGTGCAAGGTCTTATGCTTTACTGGATATTATGTCTTCTCTCTGCCCTACACCTATACACTATTGGCCCCAGACGCTTTCAAACACGACTAAATATGCATAACTTTTACGCACTGGTGGTTGTAAATGCTCTATTATAGTGCGAGAAATGCGTGTGTAAGAGGGGTTTAGTGAGCTTGTAGTCTATACACTTACTTTCTGGATGTGTAGGCTACCTATACAAAGGAGATCGACAGAAAACTTTATAGATCTACCTTAGGAAGTGATTAAAAAATAAAACACTCTAAGTTACTAGCTATGGCTATCCACGCATAAAAGACCTAATTGTGGTAGAGCTCAATACGTGCGAAGTCATTCACAGAAGTGGATAACAGCGGACTAACGTGCCTATTGTGCCGTAATCTCTAACCCTACGAGGCTTACTGTAGCTATGTTAAAACCGTTACCTATCTTACGTACGTACCAAACGCTAAGACGGGGAATTAATTACGGAGCGTAGTCCATAGAAGCTAAAGTCGATATGCTATACGTTTCCTTGCAAGAAGCGCGTTATCCAGGCGCGACTCACGGGCTCGTTAGCAATCGAGGACGCGTAATTTATACCAACTATCTTGTTAGAAGCAGCTCTGTTAGGGATAGGTCTTTAATATACTGTACAAGCTTAGCTTCTTGTTGTGAATTGAGTTTCTTCTGGGAGGTGTTCTTCGCTTCCTGCGGGGCTTAACGGCCTTGATGTCTTCGAGCTAACGTACAGTACCGGTAACGTGAGCTATCGTCTTCGCGCCTGCAATCCCCATTTTGCCCAAGGATCTGCGTCTACTCTACATACTCGATAGCTTTAGTAGCTAGCTGTAGCGTGCCTAGAATAGTCTAGATGTTGTCCCGTCTAGATAGGTTAGTGAAGATATAGTTCTAGAGGTGCCTGCGCTTATAGTAGTAGAGAAGAATGTGCGCAACAGTCTATTGTCTCGCTCTACAGTCGCAGCGCGGGCTAGTAACGTGTAGCACTCTTTAGGCAAAGAGAAAGTTATTAAGTCTAATCTTCTCTGTCCGCAGCTGCACTAGCAGCGCGTCTCCCGCTAAGTGCCTCTTGTAGAGCTAGAGTACTTTCTTAGTAGGCGTTAGAGTGTTTTTGTAGATTGCTCGGCCCTTAGTGTTCTTACGCTACTTTGCTATCTATGCCTGTCTAGCTTGTATGCTGCACTATCTCTTTATAGTCAACCTTATAGTGACTCGCTAGAGAGACGCATCTACTGGCAAGCTTCTGCGGCCGTCTTCTCTCTATCTAGTAGCCTTCTTAGCCGCTTTGTTGACAGCCTTGTTTCTAGGTATACCAAAGTGGGCTAGTATCTATTAGACAGTTACTGTCTGTCTATTGTCCTAGAGCTTCTAGACCTATCGCGCGACGTCTGCAAGGATGTAGGCGCCTAATTGTTCTTCCGCCTTAGCGATAGACTAGACAGCGGCCTAGTTATCTGTGTATATAGCAACGTCTTGTTGCGCACTGTTTTAGCTCGCATACTCTTAAGCAATCTGCAGTACTAGGCTAATGCCTTGTAGTTCTACTACATATACTGTTAACTCTGTGTCTAAACCTATGTGTACAGATCGTGCCTATTATGTAAGCGGCCACAGTGCTGCAGAGCCTCTCTCGCCCTTGTTGCTGCTCCCATCTGTATAGATGCTAAGGCTGTCTTCCTTTACGTGTTCTTTGTCGTGTCGCGCCCGTGCTTCCTCAGCGTCGGTCGCGTTAATGTAAGTGGTTGGACCCTATCTCCAGGGCGGCGTAAGGAAGCACGGAATCTGCTCTTGCCTGTCGAAGTCTTCAGTTCGCATGCTCGTTATGTCGCTGTAAACCTTCTGCTATGAGCTAGTGTGTCTGCGAGTCTTGTCTGCGACTGTCGGCTTTGCTGTGTTTGCCTAAAATCCTAAGGTGGCTGCGATGTTCTTGCTCGAGAGTAGGCGAACGACAGTGTCTGCGTTGTGCTTCCATTTATGCTGCTCGATGGGAAGGAGAAATGTGCCGCTCTTGATGTAGCTTTGTATGCCCCGCTGATGACCTAACCAATATAAGGCGCGGTTCGGACACTAACCAACATGAGGAGGCGAATCAGGCCTAACCAATATGAGGAGACGAATCAGGCCTAACTAATATGAGGAGACGAATCAGGCCTAGTATATGATGCCCCGTGGTATCGACCCCTGATTCTTCCATGTCAGGGAATCGTGCATCCTGCCCCAAAAACGCGTTCATGCAACGCGTTCGTGCAACGCGAATCAGGTGCTGATTCTCTAGAGATACATGGCTAAATCCACTCAGCCCTCACTCCAATTCTTCTGGCTCTAGTTGGTTCACATGTTTCGTGGAGGCGTCAGGCGAGGGCTGCAGCTAGGTTGGTGAGAAAGAAGAAGAAGGCTGAGACAGCTGCTCGCAGGACTGCAAAACGACTCAAAAAGCTCTTAAGACCTCCCAAACATGTGAAAAACACAGTCTCGGGGCTCCTATAAGAGCTACTATAAACAGGAGATCTATCGCGAGGTCGACAGGTGGTGGAGAGCCTAAAGGCGCTGTAGCAGTCGCACCAACTCTCAGGTCACCGCGTAGCCGCAACGTCTCGTCTTCTACACGGCATCAATAACTATATATATAGTAATTACAACCTATAGATATCACCATTAGAAGAAATTCGCGATAATAGCTACAGTGTGAGGCTGTTTTGGTGTTTACGTGGCTCGGTTTGGCTGGGGGGCCGGATTGGCTGTCATTATCAGTAATCCGAAGTGCCGTCGCGCCGGCCTACCGTCTTGGCGCGGGCAATGCCCCGATCGCGTAATACCTAGGCAACAACTACCTTATCTACATAAAAAATAAAGCTATAAAGCTATAGTAAATAGTAGTACTATAAAAACCTAGTATTATAATAATTATATACTTATAAATAATTTGTGCTATTTAGAATTTTTTTAGGCGTTTAGATTAATTATATTTTAGTTTTTTATATTAGAGCTACTATAGTAGCACTACTAGCTTCTACATAAATATACTAATAATAGTATATTTCTAATACTTTTTAGAAGGCTTAGAGGCTTATAAGGCCTTACACTTACTTTTTTAGAATAGTTATAACGTAAAGCACCAGTGAGCCGGCCACCCCAGTGAGCCGGCCACTTTTTCTTGGCATCGCGAACACCATGTACGAACTACAATGCTATCTCAAAAGAAGCCTAACTTATCGTACAACGAAGGCAGAATTGATCTTGCTCTTCAGGCCTATACCTCAGGCCAATTTCAGACCCTGCGACGCGCTGCTGCTGCCTTT